CAGTGGCAAGGGAGTAGAAGGCCCTGCTGGGCCCTCAAGGAAGGTCCTGTCACTTGCAGTCACCAGCCCATTGCTTACCTTCCTGGCTTCTTGGGGGCCACCATCTGAATGCCTTGCTGCCAGTTAGTCTGTTTCCCTGGATATCCTGTCTGCCTGTAGCCACAGGTTTGTCCTTTGGAGCCCTCTCCCTGTTGCTAGCTGAGCCTCTCCAGTTGATTGGGTGGTCAGATTTCACTTTCTCTGCCTTGTTCAGGGGTAAAGGGAGAGTTCTCCAGCTGTAGGACCTCCTGAGGGACCATGAGGGCAAATGCCCTGCTGTGCACCTGGCTGGCACAGGCACTGAGTGCCCTCCTGGGGTGTCTAGGCTCAGATGAAGGACAGCAGATGGCTGTCATGAGTGTGCAGGGTGTTGTCACTGTGTTTGCTGGCCTGGGATGAAGCACTGACTTTCATATGAGCAGGAGAGAAGCAGGGAGGGGCAGCCTCTCTGGCACACCCAGCTGGCCCTCCTGCCTCACGTGAGGGAGAAGAGGGTAGCACTGCTGAGAGAGGTGTGATCCGGGTCTCAGACAGGACAGCTGGAACCGCTGCTATCACGGTTTACTGAGGAGGAGGAACTGCAGATGACACGGATGCTACAGAGAATGGATGTGCTGGCCAAGGTATGAGCCACCCCAGTGTGGGGTCTGGGCTGGGGCATCAAAGACCCTGGGACTTGAGGCAAGGGAGGGCATCTATCACACGAGCTCTAAACTCTCTGTTGCCCTCTGCACTTTCCAGAAAGCCATGGAGGTGGGTGTACGACTGATGATAGACGCCGAGCAGACCTACTTCCAGCCAGCCATCAGCCGCCTGACACTGGAAATGCAGCGCAAGTTCAATGTGGAGAAGCCACTGGTTTTCAACACATACCAGTGCTACCTCAAGGTACCAGCTTCCCCTTGCACCTGCCCCCAGGGCAGCACTGCAGCCCGTCTGGTGTGTGGCATGACCAGCCAAACTGTAAGACAGATGCTCGTCTTCTGAGCCTTTGGCATTTGCCTGGCTCTGTCCTGAGCAGAGGCTGGGGTCCGTGGGACAGAGGAGAAAGCAGGCAGCGTCCCTGAGAGGTTGATGGAGTCCTCTGCAGTACAGCTCATCCTGGGCTGGCCATTATGGCCCGGAAAAAAGACCCCTGCCCAGCAGCCATGGAGTGCTTGCCTCAGAGTAGAAAGTAAGGCTTCTAGAAACCCTGTTGGCAGCTTTTTGGCTGGGCCTTAGGACCCAGACAAGACTGAGGAGAAAGATAACCCACCCGATGTGCTTTAAATCCCAAATTTTGAAGGCTTCATGGGTGGTCATTTTTCTTCCCATTTTTAGCCCAGGATCCTCTTAAGAGTCTTGTGAAAGCTTTGGGCTCTTGGCTAGAAAAAGATTTACCCAGAATTTTGCATGTACAGTACTTGAGAAGCCCAGAGGTGCTTCAGGATAGGACCTCCAAATTCAGCCTTTAGCATGAGAATGCCAAGTTTCTGTGTACCTGTACAGGTCAGAGCTCATGGGAACAAGCCAGGCACTCAAGAGAACATGGTTGGTGTAGGGAAGAGCTGTCAAACAAGTGTCTCTTGCATACAGCTCCCAGCCAGCCAAGATCCTACCTGGGCTGATCCCACCCACCCACCCAGGGCTGTCTCCAGGCCACGCAGAGTAGGCTGAAGACAGCACCACTGTTTCTCCTCACTGGGGACAAAGGGCAGAGGCCCATCCTTATCCACACCTGTCCCCCACATCCTGATTGGTATCTCCCTTGGACAGCTGCTGCCTGGCCCAGTGCCCTAAGCTGACATACTCAGGAGTACCTGAGCATGGAAGTCCCTCTCCTGACCACCATTGGGTTTCCTATGACTTGACCTCGGCCCCACAGGATGCCTATGAAAATGTGACCCTGGATGTGGAGCTAGCTCGCCGGGAGGGCTGGTGTTTTGGGGCCAAGCTGGTGCGTGGTGCATACATGGCTCAGGAGCGTGCCCGTGCCTCAGAGATTGGCTATGAGGACCCCATCAACCCCACTTATGAGGCCACCAACATCATGTACCACAGGTAAGCCAGCCCTCCTGCACCTTCATTCTTCCTGACAGAGTGGGGGATGAGGGCTTCAGGCAACACTTACTGCTGCAGTGATCCATCTGAGGCTTCCAGGGGACACTGCATGTATCTTGAGAACATGTTACAGTCTCTATGCATCATTTTTTCAAAAGCATTAGTTTTTCTTTTTAAATATAGAAAAGTCTACTCAATGAAAATGGCCTCGATCCCCCAGCTGGCTTCTGGTGCCACCTAGATGAGGCCCTGTTGGTTGGCGCCATTTGCTTTGTTGTTCACACGGTGCGGATCGCCCGTGGTTATGCCTCTGCTGTTTGTTTTTGCTGTTCCTCTTAGGGATCTTTGTGTGAAGCACAAGCAGTCCAATTGTGTGCTGCTCTTCTCAGAGAGCATAGTTACTCGTTATAAACTGGAAGGGACCCTAAGTGTCTTGTGGCAGGCTCTAGCTCCCTTCCTGGACACACCCACATCCAGAAGCCACTGTGCACATATGTCCTCTGCCACATGTCTGCTCCATCCATACATTGTACATTCTGCCCTTTGCCCCTTGCTTTTCATTTAATACCACATCTGGATTCTTTTGTCAGCACAGATCACTGCAATGTTGCAGCCAGTAGGGGGCGCCAGATTATGTGTGAAGGTGCTGTGATAGTGTGGTTATTGAAACAGGTATTCACTGAACATCCTGACCTTTTGTTGTACACAAGTGCTGTGAAAGGTTCTGTGTCTGGAGATACAGCCATTCCACCCATCCTTAGAAATTGGACTGTCTGGTTAGAGAGAATGTGTACTGTCAGTATGGCAGCTCTTACTGGAAAATGATGGCACTGTGGACAGTTTCCCTGGTACATGGACATCCACCCTTGGGAACTCAAGGGATCCATTTCCTTTCATTTCCTTGAAGGATCAGGCGGGAACTATGGCATCTCTTTCCAGAGACAAGGTAGCAGGTCCAGGCAAGCCCCCTCCCCTATCCCTGCAGAGTGACAGCATTTGATGTGGGGAAAGTGCGCCCCTGCTAATGCTCTGTAAACTGTCTGGTCCCACTTGGTTCTGATCCTCCTTCCCAAGGCACTGAACATGCCAGGTAGTGTTCATTCCCCTGATGCTGCTGATGCTGTGGGAACCCTTGGGAGGGACCAGCTCTCTAGACGGCTCTGGGCCAGCTCAGGTGGTGCTCTCCCCAGGTGCCTCAACTATGTCCTGGAGGAGCTGAAGCACAACTCGAAGGCGAAGGTCATGGTGGCCTCTCACAATGAGGACACGGTGCGCTTCACACTACACAGGTAGGTGCTGCATGCCCCAAGCTACGGGGTTCTCTGTGACTGGGGACAGCTGGCAGTGGCCCAGGGCTCAGGGAGCATACAGTGGCCTGCCAGCAGCTGCTGTGAGTTCTGAGGGATAACCCCCATGGAATGAGCTGGCGGAGTCTTCAATGTGCCATGAGCCTCAGGCCTTGCCCAACTGTCTTGATACGTTCCTACAACAGCAAGAAGGCTACTTGCAGTTACTTGCATTTTAAAAATTAATATCCAACTTACTGAAGCCTCAAATTCAAAAACATAAATTTTGTTAGGTGATTTAAATAGCTCACTGAAATGTTCAGGCATGGTTTAAATCTCAGCCCTCCTTGGGAGGCCTCTCCAGTGTTTATAAAGTTATAAACCACATTTATAAACAGTTTCTAGTAACATTTCTACTGCATTAGAATTTAATATAGTCTGTTTTCTCTTTCAATGCTTGTCTCATGGAACACAACTCTGGTAGAATTCTAACAAGTCAAATAGAAAATAAGATGAGGTAAATTCCTAAGCATCCGGTACTTTCATCATGGTTTTATCTCACACCTTAGATACAACTGTGGTTGTTTTCCCTTCTTACTCCTGCCTCACCCAAGTCCTGCAGGTTAGACCCACAGAAGCCTAGTGGGCCCTGGGCAGCAGCCTTGCTGGCCCTCTCCCAAGAGCCAGGCTGGGGCCCCTGCCACAGCCTCAGATCCATGCTTGGACACTAGGTGGGGCTTCCTAGAGGTGTAGGGAGGGTGCAGGTCTGGTAGGGGACGGGGTGCTTTCTAGTGCCTCTTGGACAGTGACAAAGGTTTCCAAATCTGTTCAGTGCCATAGATGCTCCACTTGTGCTCAAGATGGTGCCTTTTCTTTTCTTTTCTTTTTCCTGAGATGGTCTCACTATGCACTTCAGGCCAGGCTGGCCTTGAGCTCACTTTGTAGACCAGGCTGGTCTCAAATTTGCAGTGATCCTCCTGCCTCAGCATCCTCAGTGCTGGGATTACAGCCATGTACCACCACACCCGGCAACATAGTGCATTTTCACAGCCTGAAATCACAGGGCATCCTTTCTGCACCCTAATCATAGTCACATGGCAGAGGCAAGGGAAGTGTGGCCCTACAGCCTGAGACCTAGACACTGGAGAAAAGTGGGGAAGAAGGGGACGCTCTCCTAGGAGCTCAAGGGACCCTAGGCAGGGTTAGGGACCCCAGGATATTGAGAACAGACAGGGCAGGGGCAGAAGAAAGCACAGGCCTTGCCAGTGTACTTGGCAGGTATGAGGAAGCCAGGCTGAACATACACTGAAGTTGCGGGGCTCCAGCATGGAGGAGCAGATGTGCAAAGCCTAGATACCAGGATGCAGGAACCTAGAGATGAAAATGTGGGAATCATCAACATGTAGATAGTTTAAATACTGAATTTTGGTAACACCCTACAAGGGGTGGTATGAAAATAGTAACACAGTGCCTGCCTGGCAAATGTGAGGTCCAGAGTTCAAGTCCTGGTACAAAAAAAAAAAAAAAAAATGGAAAACAGAGGAGGCTGACAGTTGGGGGTCACCACCCCAACATCTCAGCAGTGCTAAGAGAAATATGAGTCACAGATAAAGTCAAAATTCTCCAATAGCCAAATTTTTAAAAGACAGAGTTAATTTTAATACTATATTATAGGCTAGAATGTAGCTCAGCATGCACAAGGCCCTACGTCCAGTGCCCTGGTATCACCACCACACACATACAAATTAATTTTCCATTCTACTAAGTCTGCAAAATCTACATCTAACATATAGAGTCCACCAAAAAATGTATATACACTTCAAAACATATAAATATTTTAATACTAAGTTTATTGAGCCATCATGAGATTAATACAAATTATCTTTGGCCTCTACAATTACAAAAGGAGCTCAAAGTAGCTTCCAGACATTCATTAGTAGTAACCTGGGCTACTGAAATTGCTGCACATGTATTTTCAATTTTTTCTCTAAAGACAAGGAGTATAGTAGATTTTCTGTGATACACAACATCCTCTAGGGTCCCTCCTCTTTCGAGGTTAACACCATCTGTTTGAAAACATCATACTGTTTTTCTTTTCCTAAAGTGTGTATACATCTTTTTGGCAGACTAAGTGTATCTGACACAACACATCTAGATTCAGACCAGTCACCATCTAAGGACTGACTGCTGATAGCTGCATAATGGGCAAAGGCAGCTATACAGATAGTGTAGTGGGGCAGCCAGCAAGGGGAGGACAAGGGTGGGGAGGCCAGCAGACCAATCACCAAAGCAAAATCCCAGAGGGATGCATGAGAGCCCAGGAGCTTCCCTGAGCCAGGGGCAGGCCCTGCAGTCAGGAAGTGGAGAAGGTATGAGAGAGCCAGTGTGAGGGAAGAGGGGAAAGGAGGGAGGAACGGTGTGGCCCTGGGCCACGGCCTACCCAGGGAAACCTTCCCCCAGGAGCAGCAGCACAGCTGAGGCAAGTTCTGCTGGGAAGAGTTGCAGCGGAGGGCAAAGCCCACACCTCTGGCTCTACTGGCAGGGAACAGAGGCTCTAATATGGGAGTTGAGATCTGAGCGAAGTGGGAGGTACTCAGAGGTAAGACAGGGAACTATACTGCTCTTGTGACAGTGTCTTAGGACTAGCCCCTCACCTGCTTGGCCTCATCTGCTTACAGGATGGAGGAGCTGGGCCTGCATCCTGCTGACCACCAGGTGTACTTCGGACAGCTGCTGGGCATGTGTGATCAAATCAGCTTCCCACTGGGTGAGCCCAACTTCCCTGGATGGGGCAGGTGGAGGTCATCGAGGGGGCTGGAATGTAAAGTTGCATCTTCTGTGTGTGCAGGCCAGGCAGGCTTCCCCGTGTACAAGTATGTGCCTTACGGCCCGGTGATGGAGGTGCTGCCCTACCTGTCCCGCCGAGCCCTGGAGAACAGTGGTATCATGAAGGGCGCCCAGCGAGAGAGGCAGCTGCTGTGGCAGGAGCTGTGGCGGCGGCTCCACACTGGCAGCCTCCTTCAGTACCCAGCCTAGCCGTGTACCCCCCACCACAGCCACATACTCAGTCTCTGACCTCCCGGCTTATAGGGCAGGGAAAGGATCCTGGGGAGGGGACTCTGGGTGTCACCCACACCACCACCACAGCTTCAGCCCAACTCCAACCTCACAGAATTTACTTATTTTACATCCAAAACATGAGAGCCACAGGTGGTGGGGTTTCCTGATGTTGGTCCCTCCAACCCCAATCCTGCCCTGCCCAGAATACAGGGACACAGACCACTAGGAACTGTCTGCAGTTCTCAGCAAGTAAAGGCCCTTTCTGCTACTGGCCTGAACAACAACCTCCTGCCAGGGCCTCACATACACGCACCCAAGCCTTATGGTGGACAGTGGTCCAGCTAGAAAGTTGGTCAATAAATCACTGTACTAAAGGTGAGTGCCCTCAATCAGCTGTGGGAAGCAGAGGGAGCGGCTAGAATGCACACGGGCCCAGGCCATTCTCTTTCGTCATGGTGTCCTGTACCCTACTTTATCCCTACCAGGTTCCTGCTCCCCTGATAGGCCACTGATCAGGCCTACAGCAAGTATTCCCTTTTACACCCCTATCCCCCTGCATGTGCATCTCTACCCATGTTCTCCAACCCCGCATGGAGTAGTCCAGGGATGGTCCTTGTGCCCTGGGGCTTGGCAGCGGGAAGATTGTATAGACAGCAATGACGGTCCCTGGAAAGCAGGGCTAGAGGGGAAAGCCAGGGGTGGGCAGTCCTCGTGCAGGTGAAGAGGTGGTGGGATTGGAGGCAGGAAGTCTTCAAAGAGGCCTCTGCCACAACATAGCCCTGCATCAGGCAGGGGCTGCTTCCTGCTGGCTTCAACAGGGTCACAGAGCTGCTAGGAAAGGGTCCTACATGGGCTCTGGTTGTAGCAGAAACCACAGACATGTAAGCCATGTGTAGGTACTTTTATTTCTGTGAGTCACACAGGTCCTGGGCCTCATAGTCCCTTCTACTTGGGGGCGGCAACTGCCCAGGTTGGGGGCAAAACAAAAGTAAGGATAAAATCAGGGATCTAGAGAAACTGAGATATGCCCACCTAATAGGAAGGCACTAGAACCAACAGCACCATCTCTACCTGACCCTGGGCAGACAGCATGCAGGCTGAGCCTCCCATCTTATGACACTATTCCAGTGCTTGGATCAAAAAAATCCAGACAGCAGTGGGGGACAGATGGAGTCAGGAACATCCAGCCTTTCTGTACAAGGGTAATGCCTACCGGCAGCTGAGTCAGTGGCCAAATATCAGGAAGACAAACTGTCCAGCTTTCTGGTACCAGTCGACACAACTGCATTCCCAACCACACTTGGCAGAGGTGGTCAACAGGGACCCCCACCTGGTCATAGGGCTGTCTTCCCAGACTGGCAGCCCCTCTGCTGCAACTTTCGGATGAGTTCCAGCAGGTTCATCTGCAGTGTCAGCTCCTGAGATGCAGAGGGGACCCATGATGACCAAAAGGACACTTGATGCCTGTCTGCACCGGTTCAGTGGGCAGTGAGGCCATGGGGCTGATTCCCCATTTGGAGGCTGGCCAAAAGGGAGGAGAATCTGGGCCTCCAACCGAAACAGGGCTGGCAGTCTCCCTGGACGATGAACTCAGGCTAACATGTAGGAGGGGAACAGAGGGCCCTGCAGGGTCCAACAGGCCTGGAGAAGGTGTCCTACCTTCCTATGGGCAGTGGGACTGGTCTCTATATCTTTCCCGGAACCTACCTTCCATCTTTCTTCCACCCATCACTGATCTTGAGCCTTCTGGGTCTGGCAACACATTAGTGTGGGCAAGGCAGGCCCAGGTGCTGACCTGTGGGTTGGTGGTCACGTAGAAGCCAGCTACCCCTGCCTTCTCGAGTGTGCTCTGCTGGTCAGCCACCTTCCGGTCCAGCTCCAGGATGATCTTCCGGTCCATCGCCTGCTGTTCCTCCCGGATCCGATGTTCCATTGCCTGCCCAGGGCAGGGAATGAGGGAGGCTCCAGGCTCAGACCCCACCCATCTGTGCCTCAAACACACCCTGTGGTCTGCTACCTCATAGCTACCTTATCCATCCCCAGTGGCACTGGCTCCAGAACTATGGGTATCCTTGCCACACCCAGGCCTCTCCCTTCTCTGCATTACCAAACCATGCAGGGGAGTTCCAAGAGGCTTCCCCAGAAGCTCCAGCTGGGCATTGCCTTAGGACCTGGCACAGGGTACCCAATCCCCTATGACTTCACATGTGGATCTCTAGTTCACAGCAAGCTCCTCAGGAGGATGGACCCCTTCCTGGCTGGCCCTGTCACTCCACTGGTATGCTTACAGGCCTGATGCATGCAGGCCTGATGCATGCAGTGTCCCCCATTCAGCATCTGCTCTGTGTACCCCCCAGCCTACAAGGAGCTGCTATCTCAGGGAACAAGAGATCAGCAATGGGCCTTTACTCTCCACCCAGCCCTGGCATACCTTAGCTCCTAGCGGGAGAAACCATGTGCTTGGACTCCAGCATTCCACCAGGCTAAGACCCAGAGTAGTAACTTTTTTTCTGGAGACATGATTCTGCTATGTAATTCAAGCTGGCCTTGAACGCCTCTTGTCTCGGCCTCTCAAGTGTTAGAATTATAGGTGTGTGCCAGCCACCCCACCTATCACCCTGAGGCTCCTAGCAGAGCCTGGTGGTGCACACAGAGGAGCCAGGTCCACTCATCTTATCCTTGTCCCCTACCTCCAACTCACGCTGCTGAGCGGCCTGGAGCACGGGCAGGTTGTGGGGCCGGCAGGACTGCTGGGCCTCCAGGTGCTTCTGCCGCAGTGCCTGCCTGAGCACTGGGAGAGGAGAGAGCAGAAGAGCAAAGAGCCATCAGCAACAGCAGGCACTGGGGAAAGGAGAATAAGGAGGGACCCAGGCACACCTCACCCTTAATGCCTGCCCTAACAGCCAGGTGGAAATGCAGAAAGAAAAACCACCATCACAAAATGCAACACTATACAATCCACTGCCAGCTGTGCAGACCCTGGCCTAAGCCTTCTGAGGACAATTAGCAAAGAGTCCAGAGAGTTACCAAAAACTGCCCTGCCAAAAGAGCTCCGTGGAGCTTTTTCCAGGACTGAGATGTGGAAAGCATGAGATGAGCCTGAACACCTTCCTGTACTAGAAAGCAAGAAGTACTGAAGACTGATGAGGACACATCAAAGGAACCAGCCTGAAAGTCACCCTGGACCAAACACAGCAGTTTTGGCTGGAAGAATGAGTTGAGTACTTCAGATTTGTGGACTATAGGCATATTCTCATATTCTGCCTCAATCAAAATGTCTAAAAAGATAATTGCCCAAACATTCAGGGAAGTTAATACTAACTATATGGCATCTAGAAACTTAAAATGCTTCTCAACTTGTCCTATGAGACCAGCATCATCCTTATACCTAAACAAAAACATTACAAGAAAACTACACACCAGTGTCTGCCACGAACATAGAGGCAAAGATTCTTAACAGGATTTTAGCAAATCAAATCCAATATATATAAAAAGTTTAATATGTCATAACTGGCTGAGGTTTATCTCCAGAATGCAATTCATCCCAGGAATTCATATGTCAGTGTAACTCACCGTAATAACAGGAAAATCACATGATCATCTCCACAGACACAGAAAAAGATTTGACAAAATCCAACACCTATTTCCAATAGAAAAATGTTAATCTTGTGGCACAGGGACATCCCTTGCCTTTGTGGGGGAAGAAAGTTGCATTACTAGAAATTTTTGCCACATTTACTGTGCATCTATCTGAAAGCCTTGTTTCCTGTCCAGTTTACAGGAAACAGTGTAGAGAGACATGTCAGATGACAACACGAGGAAGTAATCTGACAGATCCTGAGACACTTTATAGGTTGAATATGGAACGCTGCAAAATCAAAGTCAATGTAAACACTGGGAATCCTTTCGGAAGCAGAGACCAAAATAGTTGCAGTACATGAACTTGGTCTGGACTTCTAATTATAAAGTGACAATCTGAGAAACATTAGGTAATGGGACCACAACACACTGGAAAAATTTACTGTGGTTCTGTAATAGTGTTCTTGACCTAAAGCATTATCTCTCAATCCCTGGCCAAGGTTAGTCTATAGGGCTGTCTGGAAATGGGTTTGGTTGTCATGACAAGAGGAGGACGCCAATGTTTTCCTGTGGTGTCTCACCATAAACACTTCAGTTCCAGATGTCAACCGTGTTGGACTAAAATATTGGTCTTGAAGAATACTGAGGACTCCTGATGAAGAATCCTGGTGAAGAGCTATAGTATCATATATAAAAACTCTAGCAAAATATTTATTATTGAATCTAGGTGGAGGGCATAAGGATGGTCTTTCAGCTTTTCTAAACGTTTGAGTTTACAAGAAAAAGTTGGGGGAAGGTGGACATGGTGGCAGAGACCCATAATTGCAGCTACTGAGGAGGCTAAGGCAATAAGTCCAAAAATGAAGCTCCCCACACGGGCAACTTTCTGAGACCTTGTCTCAAAATTAAAAACTAAAAAGGGGTAAGGATATAGTTCAATGGTAGACTGTTTGCCTAGTATGTATGAAGCCTTAGCTTCAATCCCCAGGTCTACTCAAATAAAACAATACCAACAACAGTAACAATGACAACAAAAAAGCTGAGACAAAATAAAAATGGTAAAGATAGAAATTTGATGGTGGTGCAGAGGTAGCTGCATGTTAACAGGAAGGGGTGCCCCACCCCCCCACCCCCACCACCACCGTGGGTATACATTAGACAAGCCTGGTGCTCAAGTGAGAAGTCTTCGAGGCCTCTAGGGATGCTACAAGGAAAGGGCTCAGGAATTCCCGGCTCAGCTGGGGTGGTGTCTGCACTGCCCAGAGGGAGATGACACTAACGGGCGCTACAGAGGAGCAAGACATTCGTCCATGCCGGGTATCATTGGTCAGTGGCCTCCATGAGGGTGTGTCTGTGGATAGGTCAAGCATGAAACCTTTGGGCCTTACTGTCTAGCTGGCGGTAGGGAGAACCGAGAAGCCTGAGCAGAGTTTTCTGGGTGTCAAGCTAAGGAGAGGGCACCGTGTGACTCACTGGTCACCAAAAAAGCCCTATCGTAGACCCTGATCTGGTCCATCTGAGGGTTCTCTTGCAAGAGGAGCTAGGGAAGGGCCACACCGAAGAGAGCACAAGAGTTGACCCCTGGGAGCAGCGTAAACCGTCCCGCCGCCCCCGCGCACCTCGGTGCTCGTTCTGCAGCCGCAGGCGCTGGTTATACAGGCTCTTCTCGGTGAGATGCTGGATCTCCAGCAGTCCCTGCACGATCTCGAACACAGTGCCGTCGAGAAGCGCCAGCGCCAGGTCACTGAGTGTGGTGTAGGACAGGCGCTGCTGGAAGGAACTGTGGGCAAAGGTGCGCGGTGAGCCCAGGCGGGACCGGGCCGCCTCCACTGCCTGCCCTGCCCTACCCCGTTCCGCCCGGCCTAGGCACGCCCGCACACCTGGGAAGTTCTTTCACCAGGCTCTGTAGCGCCGACAGCAGCTGGTAATGCCGCTCTTGCTGCCGGGTGCCATCCGCTGACTCCTCCAGGGCGCTGGCGTAGCGCTCCATCAAGGCAGTTGGCCCGCCAGCTGCCGGCCGCCCCGACGCATACCCCGCCCCCTTACGTCAGTCTTGGGTACGGCGTAGCGTGCCCCGCCCCTTACGCCGTCCACATCAAGACTCCGCCTGCCATCTACGTCAGATTTGGGCGCGACGTGCTCTACGTCAGCCATGCCCCGCCCCTTGCGCTGTCAGGATTGAGGCTTCCCCCGCCCCTCCGTGGAGTCTCCTAAGTGCTTCGCCATGCTCCATCCGTAATCCGGCCACTTTGGTCCTCAAGGTTTTAGACGCGAAACTCCATCGCTGTAGTTTGCTATTTCCGTACCTCTCGCAGAGTCCGTCCCTGCCTTGGAACACGCGTACTGTTTTCTTTCTTCGCCTGCCGTCCCACGGAAGAGGAGGTGAAGGACCACAGTCTCAGGCATCTTGGTTTCGTGCACTGAGGCCAAGCAGTGGGTGAATCTGAGATCTGTCTTCATCACTCACCCTGGGCTGAGAGTAAGACTGATAAAGGACTCTAGAGCTGTCGGACCGCGACAGGAAGACTGAGTCTTCACCTGAAACTCCCGTGATCGCCTGGTGCTGCCCACCCCCAGTCTGAACACGGAGTCCACTTTTCTCAGCTACAGTGCTGTTGGCCACCGACGGTCCCAGCCTTGAGGGGTTGGCTGGTGCCAAAGCAGTCATCCATGGGAGGACTTCTGGTAGAAAGAATGGTACTGTAAAAGCCCTCTCTATAGTCAGGACCAGCTGGATGGGCTGAAAGGATGTGAGAGTGGTAAAAGGCTGAGCTTTACAGAGACTCCTAGAGTTTTGTCCTGAGAGCAGTAGAGGGCTCTGAAGGTTCGAAGCCACAGACTGGGTCAGATTTGCCATCAGACCTGGGTTTCACAAGGCATTCTTTAACTATGGGGCTGGGAGCACAGCCTAGATGGTGTGGACTAAGGGTAAGTGAGACCCTGCAGGAAACTAGCTGGGCCAGAGCAGAGCCCTGGAGGTGGTCATGGACCTAGTTACTTACATGTTTGGTGATGAGGGGCCAAGTGGGCCCTTACTGTTGTCCCAGAGAAAGAGCACTACCACCACCACCGTGAGCCACACAAATGAGTTAGAGGTAAAGCAAGGAGGATCCCGTGAAGCTGAGAAGTATCTTCCATGGTGCTGCTCGCTCTCTGCACCCCTGAAAAGGTGATATTTCTCTTGATAAGGGAGTGGGCAGTTAGTCATATAGAGATTTCTTGAGTCCCACACTTAGAGCTTTCAGGAGAGGAGAGAAGATATTGATAGGCTTGGGGAAAGGCCTCGAGGGCTAGGGCCTGATCCCCTGTTTGGTGAGCTCTACAATGTGCTGGATGAGTGGACATCAGTCGGTTGCCTGATGACCGACCCCATGCTCCAAGGCAGCCTGGTCATGACTGCTGTGCCCAGGAGATGAGCATGGTCGAAGGCCTTGTAAAGACCAGCCAGGGCCTGTTGCAAAGGATCTTCATGTCCACAGTGGCCTCATCAGATGGGTTTCTATTCCCGGATAAGAGTCCATTGACAATAGGAAAAGCCGCTGTATCATCCCAGGGCCACTACAACCCCAGCCTGGGTTTATTCATTCACTTTTTTCTATGATACTCAGAATTGGAACCAGGATCTCCCTCATTCTACACATGCTGTTACCATTAAGCTGCATCACTAGCCTCTTTTATTATTATTTCTTATTTTGATACAGGATCTTGCTTAATAGTTCCCCAGAATTGCTTGGAACTTGTCATCACTTTGCCTCAGCTTCCTGAATAGCTGGAACTACTAGTAGTGTCAGAATGCCCAGCTCCCAGCCAAGGTCCATAATGGAAAACAACACCCAGACAATGAGCTTAGCTGGTCACTGGATTAGTCTGTTCAGGCCACCATAACAGCATAACACAGACTGAGCGTCTTAATGGGAATATTTTCTCACTCTTCTGAATACTGGAAATCCAAGATCAAAGTGTCCCAAGGTTGGTTTCTTCTGAAGCATTTCCTTGACATCTAGATGGCCATCTTTTCTATCTTCACAAGATCATCCTGTGTGTATAAGGACAACAATTACAGAGTGGGTTAAGGGCCTATCCTAATGATTTTATTTTAACTTAAATACCTCTATAAAGATCTTATATCCAGCCAGGCATGATGGTGCACACTTGTAATCCTAGCATTGGGGAGGCTGAGGCAGGAGGGTCACTATGAGTTTGAGGACAGACTGGGCTACATAATGAGTTCAAGGCCAGCTGGAACTGCATAGCAAGACCCTGTCTCAATCCCACACCCAACCCCCCCAAAAAGTCTGAAGTACCAGGCATTAGGACTTCAATATATGACTGTGGGGAGAAGTTCAGTTCATTAATAGTAATTAGGCAGATTGATGAGTTTTTTCAGTTGGCACCACCAGACTGTTAAGGACAATTAAGATTCTATTGGGTCCAGAGATAGCTTTTGGGAAACTCTTCATCCACTGGCCAATAAATTCTCAGGCCAAGGAAAATGACTTGCAGCTAAAACAGAAAAAGAGAATTTATGACCATGTGGGCCTGGCTGTGACACCAGCGGTTCCCCAAGAGGAGATTCTCTATCAGCCCACGTGTGGGCTACACATTTACAGATTCTGATTAACCCTAGAGTTCATCATGAACAGTCAGGGATGGAGACAGGATACCTTGACCAATTTCCCAGGCCTGTGTTTCTCTGCTCTTCACACCACTCTCTCGGCCCAAAGCCAGGGCACCCTGGTGTAAATCCAAGCCTGAGCAGGGCAGAACATGACAAAGTAAGATGTCAAAGAGATGAGAGGTCCAACTTGAGCAGTGAAACAGAAAAATAAGGCGAATTCCTCCTTTCTGTCTTTTGTTCTATTCAGGCCTCTACACCTAGCTGAGGCAGTAGTTTTTTTTATTGAAATACTGTTGTCATCTACGAAAACCCTCTGCTGTAGCAGGGAAATGCTTTGAATGTGTTCCCCAAGGGTTCAGGATCTTGCTTAATAATATTTTCTGGTAATTAGGGCAGCAGTTTGTTCTTCTGTATACCTCCTACCATCATCACTTGGAGTCTCGAGTGCAATACGTCTACCCAATCTTGGGTGAAATCTCCAAAAACTATGAGCAAATAAAAAGGAGGTATAGCAACTGATATATCTGCTAAGTAACATGGTATCCTTTGACAGCTGGGAAACAGAAGGAAGACCTGAGGTTCATCATGGCACCATGTCATTTATGGGGAGACCCAGTGGGGACACAGACCTCTGTCGTGTCACCGTTCATGGAAAACACCATATGATAGCCACGAGAAAGGATGAAGTCAAGTCACAGTATGTCGTGATACCACGTCTAACATCATACAGTGACCCAGAGGAGAATAGAGAACTAAGTTGTGTCTTATTGCATCACTGTTGTATAGCATCCCTTCAGAAAGCCAGCAGCAGGAAAGCAGGTGAGTTGGATTTTTTTTCTCTTTGTCACATATGACAGTCCAGTGATGAAACATATGATAAGCTACAGTGACATCATCTGTGACATTGTAACATACTGTTTCAGGGCCACAATCTTGCCCTCAAATGCTATATGATCTATTAGACTGACTGAGATAATAATAATATATTAGGAATAAGGAATGTTACCACCCTCAGCTGTTATACAAGGCATAGTGGCTTTAAGTGTGTCAGATTTGTGTCTTCACCCTATATGACATATAATATGAAAGAAAAGACCTAAGAAATGTACTGCCACTGAGCAATATATTAAGTCATACAACTGAGAGGTGATGCGTCCTGACTTGGGTCTATGTTAGTCACAGTGCCATACGAGATATCATACTGCAAATGAGACAGAAAATGCAGTCATTCCTCATATTAGGTCACTTTGTCACATACGGTGTCACATGGTAGCAGCAGAGAGGGCAGCGCAGAACTGAGTTGCATTATGATGTTATATGAAAAGTGGTACAGGGGGTGTGACTCGGTGGTAGAGCTCTTGCCTCACATGCACAAGGCCCTGGATTCGATCCCCAGCACGAGGAAAAAAAGTGATATAATATGAGGGCTAATGGGAATGTGAAGGCAAAAATCATATTTTGTCACTGTATTACATGAAATGTCACATGATAGTCAAGAGAAGGTTGCATAAAAAAGTTACCTTTTGTTATTATGTCAGATATACATGGATAATCTGTTAAGAGGACTGGGTTCATGAGTAAATGTCTTGTTACTGTATGAACCACTGTGTTTAGCAATGTGCATATAATGTATGGTTTATTGTTCATTGATCCTGTCTCTGCCTTTCTCTGTCTCTGTCTTTCTCTTTCCCCACTCCCCCTCCTTGCTGCCTCTCTCCGTTTCAAACAGGGTTTCATTATGTAGACCAGCCTGGCCTTAAACCGGTGATCCTTGCCTGTTTAACAGAGATACACTGGAGTGCATGATTAACTGAGAATAATGCTTATATCTGTAAAGCGCTGTGTTTAGAAGTACAGTATGAAGCTGGTTATGTGAATTAAAGAAAATATGATATTTATACACAGTGGAGTACTACTCTTCCATAAGGATAAACTTGAGTCATTTATAAGAAGATGAATGAATTGTGAGACCGTAATATTAAGTGAAAAAACTCAGACACACACACTTAAATATCGCATGGTTTCTCTTATATAAGAAACCCAAAATGGGAAGAGGATCAAGAGATGGGTGAGAATGGAATGAAAAAAAGAATTAAGGTGTGTTATATACACATACCAACTGCACACAAGGAATGTGTGCAGTTATTCACACATGCAAATGTGTACCAATAAAAAGAAGTACAAGGCTAGTTTCTGCATTCTGTGATATATGTTTAGATTAACAGCCCTAGGTACATTAGTGAAGAGGCCATGTGCTGTCTCTGGGAATCAATATGTTCAGCATTCTTCATCTAATACAGTCCTCTGTAACATATTTAATTTCTGTGTTTATTAGGAGTATGTTTGTGAATAACAACATAATTTTTTGTGAACCCTGTTTTTTACAGTGGGTGGGGTGGGTACTGCATCCTTTGGTGTTCTATGTTTAAACCCTGTGTTTAACAGAGCGAGATATAAGTTTGCCTTAGCATAATGTTAACCTTGGGAAATTCTGTGTTTACCTTTGTGTATCTGCTGTAGCATATTTTTCAGTGATACCTGTTAGTTTACAGTGCGTAGTTTACAGATCTACTTAGGTCCTAGTGTTATCTCAGTGAAACACTGTATTTAACTATGTGTGGTCCATGTAGTACATACTTTTGGGATATATTTTAAACCTGTGTTTAACAGAGGTTGATGCATAAGTAACAAAGCATATTATTATGTCTGTTAAAGACTTTGTTGAACATTATGCGGTGCGTGTAGTATTTTGTTGATATTTGTTTAAACTCTGTGTTTACCAAAAGTAGGTGGGTGAGTTACCAAAAATAGCACAATCTCTGAGAATGCTTTCTAGAATATAATGTGTGTAAAACATTCTTATATGATACAGTTTATTTGACAGATTTTTTTTTTACCACTTTTAGGAGTACGATTCAGTGGCATTAAGTACAGAGAATCTTGAAAGCAGCAAGAGCAAAGTGACTCATCACATATGAGGAGGCTCCTACAAGATTATCATTGGATATCTCAGCAGGAAGCTTGAAGTCCACAAAGCACTGGGATAATAGCACTTAATGTGAAAAAAAAAAAAAAAAACCACCACCAATCAAGCCTAGCAAAACTGTTCTTCAGAAGTGGAGAAATGAAGACATTCCCAGGTAAACAAAAGCTGAAGAAACTTATTGCTATTAGACCTGATTAACAAGAAATACTAAAGGGTTCGGTGTGCATATTGCTGCCAGGTGCCACTGAAAAGAAAGGCAGGCTTGTAAAAACATTATTGTGTGTTCTTATCTACTTTATTCACTGGATATGGCACCATGTAACTTCCAGCTCTTCTTCAAAGTCAAAATGAACATGAAAGGTAAAAGGTCGACTTGATTCAGGACATTGAGGCAGCCACAACAGCTGCAGATACTTATGAAAGAGAAGTGGCAAAAATAATGGGATATGAGGCCAGGGGTTTAGCTTAGTGGCGTAAGCACCTGCCTGAGGTCGTGAGTTTGACCCCCAGTACCAAAAAAAAAAAAAAAAAAAAAAGAATAATAGAGTAAAGGACACTCAAAGTGAGGTGTATTTTGAGGGGAACTAATGGCAATGCGTCTTTTACTATAATAAAATGTTTTAATTTAAGCATTCACTATAGTTTGTTTTTTTGTTTTTTTTTTTTTTTTTGTCTTTTTCTTTTTTGTCAGTACCAGGGATTGAACTCACGACCACACACTTGCAAGGCAGGCGCTTATGCCACTGAGCTAAATCCCCAGCCCTACATTCACTACAGTTTTAAAACAGATATATTTTTATGAAATATTTGGTCCAGCTGTTAAGATTGCACCTTCTACAGAGAACTATGTGGCCATAGGCGGTGCCCATGGGTGGCGTGCAGAGTGCTGGGGACACGCACTGGTAAGTCAGTGGTGGCTTCAACCTAGTCATCATGCAGGGCTCATCAGCAGACCTCTTGGGGGAGACCCTGAGCAGTCAGCAGGATCTGCGGTTAGCTGAGAGCTGAGTGTCGGTTGCTAGATTCTCTGGCCCTTTGCAGCTGCTCCTGGCTATCTCAGATATTCACTGTGCTGATTCCTTCCATATTACATGTAGGTGGAGACAGAAATGGGCTTCCTGGACAACATTCTACAAGGCTGAGAAACCTGAGCCCAACATTCTACAAGGCTGAGAAACCCATGTCCCTCTCAGCTTCCCCACGGGAGAGATCTTGGGCCAGGAGCATCTCTTAGCATCAAGCTGTGCCACCCTTAGGGCGTGGTGGTGCAGGGAAAGTGAACCTGCTCATTTTACCTTATCAGTACACCTGACCCTTGGATTTTTGTTTTCATTTTTGTTCTAATAGGAGACTAGAACCTCCTAGATGGTCTTTGTGGCTTCTGCAAAGTTATTATCATCCATGGGTGGTTAGAATTTCTATTCTGTCATCTTACTCATCCTAATTACTTTAAGAGTAAGTGAATTAAAATATCCAATTAAAAGAGATTCATAGAATGGAAATAAACATAATCCCACCACATGCCATCTACAAGAGAGTAATCTTTACAAGAGATTAATTTTTTTCAAGGGATTAATTTTAAATGCAGACACAAGTAGTTTGAAAGTGAAAGGGTAGAAAAACATATTTCACGCAAACTAACCAAAACAGAGATGTCACTATACTAATGTCAAATGAAATGGACCTTAAATTAAAAAAAAATTAAGAGAAAAAGACATGTGTGTGAATAAAAGCTTTACTACCACAAGAAAATATAAAATTATAAATATTTAGGCATGTAATCATACCATGTTACTAGCAAGAAACAAGAGACCTGAAGGAAGAAACCCTTAATTCTACAATAATGGTTGGAGGCCTTCATATCCCACTTTCAATAATGAATATTTAGGGAGACAAAAACAAGAAGTCAACAAGAAACAAGCCCTCCCTGTGAACCAGGGCCATGCATGGATCGGCACTGCTGGGGGCGGGGCAGCCAGGCCCCAGCCCTTTGAGCCAGCTCCTCCCAACCCAGCCCTAAGCAACCGGCTGATCTGGAGAAACACAGGTTGCAATGATAGCTATTGAGGTGAAATAAAATTTGATACTTATGGTGTTTGATGTTTCACTGACTTTGCAGGTGTAGGGCTGGTGGTCTGATCACCTGTTCGGAGGATCATGGTACTCAGCATGGCATCTATGGGGGATCTCCTTATGAGGCTGATAACCATTGTTAATTCCTTATTGTCTTGTTTTGAAGTCCTGTATCATTTTCATTGTTTTGTTGGGTTGGGTTTTATTCTGTTTTGTTTTGTTTGATTTTGTTATATCTGATGGCATGGGCAGCTATTTCAAGGATGGTAAGATATATTATGGTAGCCATTTTGGATTTACTATTGTCCTCTTTTGAGGTCCTTTATTGCATGCATTGTTTCATTTTTATTGGTTCTATTCTGTTCTGTTTTGTTTGATTTTTTACTGTCTGAGGATATATATGGCGATTTTTAAGACAACAAGAGGCATTATGGTAACCATTGTTGATTTCGTATTGTTTTGAAGTCCTGTGTCACACTGGTTTGTTTTGATTAGCTTTGTTCTGTTTTGTTTTGCTTGGTTTTCTTCTCTTCGAAATAAAAAAGGGTACTTATACACATTGGAGTACTACTCTGCTATAAATAAGGATAAACTTGAGTCATTTGTAGGAAAATAGATGAACCTTGTGACCATAATGTTAAATGAAATAAATCAGACACACAAGCTTAAAAACTACATAGTTGCTCTTATATGAGAAACCCAGAGTATAAATAAATCAAAGACCACAATAAATAATAGAAAATAGGAAGATAGCTCTTTGGCAAATGGGAAGTGGACTAGAGATGGGGAAGAAAGGAAAAGAAAGAAGACATGAAAAGAAATAAGATGTGTTTTGTACATGTCCCGACTATCTGTAATAAATGTACCACAAACATGTACTAGTACAATAAAATTTTTGAAACTAATGCATAGAACCACCAGAGCAGAGGGGGAACAAGGGAACAGCACCTGAGCACCGCAGTGAACTAATCTGACCTAATAGATGTGCACATAGTATTCTGCACAACAGGACACACATTCTTCTCAGGGCACTTGGCGGCTGGAAGGCTGCACCACCTGCCAGTCACACATCAGGTCTCAGTGGATTAATAAAGAGGGGTATGTGAACCACGTCAGTACGTAGTTGACATCAACCGCAGAAGTAAAACAGAAAGACGTACAAGTTTAAAGAAGGCAAGGAGGTCCGGCAAATGTCACCCTCTGAAAGCGTTAATGCTCTCTACTGGGAGGAGATCAGGTCTGCTGGCACCAGATCAGCTCTTGCGAGAGGAGGCTGTTGTGGAAAGTGGAGCCTGGCCCTTCTCTACCCCTGAACGTGAGCTCTGTGGCACCTTCTGCCTGCCATCTCACCATAAGGCCCAGTTCAGAGCTGGGCAGGGGCCGGGACTATGCTCTTGGACCTCCGCAACTGTAAGCTATTAAATAAACCCTTTGCAAATTACCCAGCTTCAGATATGTTACCATAACAACCCAAAATGGATTAAGATAGATGCCTCGAGTCCTGTATGTATTAAAAATGACCTGACCCTAAAATCTTGGACTTCTTTTCCCTTGTCCCACTGTGATCAGGACTGGATGTGTGCCTAGTGACTCCATCCAGTGACATAAACGACACGAGACTAAGTCCTGTCCACTCTTCCTTTAGGCGCTACCTCCAGACTCCTCTCTCCACTGCATGCAGAGGCCCAGGCTTTGTGTGGAGAGTGTTTGTCCTCTTTCCTGCAGCTGCCTCTCCTGCGGCCAGGGTGGTGGCTGCCAGGCCACGCTTTCTGCAGCTCTGAGGCGGACCCCCTTGCACACCAGGGACCACAAAACGCGAGCTGAGGCGGCCTAGTGCAGTCCGGCTGGGTGCGCGCTGGCCCTGTGCGCCGCATCAGTGCTGCGGAGCGTCCCGCTTGTTGGGCGCCTCCTGGCGGTCGCTTGTATATTCTTTTTCACTCCAGGTTGCAGCAGTCACCAGAGGCCAAGTGAATTACCAAAATTTCCAGTCACTGAAATCAATCGTCTGTTCTCTTTAGTCGGCTATTTCGTGTGGTTATACGTCAGTTATTCTAAATCACGATGAATGATAAACTTCAGGCCACTCGCCACTCTGTAAATCTCAGCTCTAATCATTCACTTTCATGGTTCATTTAGCGCTGCTCCCTCGAGCCATCTGCTTGACTTTCTGGGAAGCTATAAAAGTGGCCCGGAATTGTTGTTAGATAATGTCTAACAACCCATGTGACAATGTTATGAAGAATCTGGATTACTGGCCAGCAGGTGTACACTTCTTGCTTCCCAGGCCATATTTCTTAGCAAGAGGTGTCCTACCTGACCACCCAGGCAAGCAGGATCTGGCTCAGAAACCCAAAGTTGAGATTTCAGGAAATTCTCCAGATGTGCTTTCAGCGACTGCACCCTGCAAAAGATGGATGTCTGTGTAGCTCTCAGATTTCTACCCGGTCCTCATCGGGTAGCCCCAAACCAGCCCCAAACTCTCAGTGGGGACCTGAAAATTTTCCAGGTGGCGCCTCCCACATCCGGGCCCCACATAGAGCAGTGGTTGGGCCCGCGACCCACTGTCCACAAAGGGCACTGAAAGAGTGCAGGTAACCTGCGGGCTGAGCCATCTCAAAGCACCAGGTCAAGGCTACCCACACAGCTGCAGCTTCCACCTCCGGAAACTGCAGTCTGTGGGTGGCCCCTGTCCCTGGAGTGGGGCTTGGGAATTTCTTGAAGGCATCTCCATTGGAGCCTGGGAGAGATGATAATTAGGTGTAAAGTCCCCACATCAGCTATCACAGGACACTCTGTGTTGATCCCCAATGCCAACGGATCCTTGGAAAAAATTTCAGGAAGTACCTTTTAAGACCGAGACCCATTATGTGTGTGTCTGTCCCCTCAGCACCCTCTCTGAGTTTCCTCCATGTCCCAACTTGTCCCTACTGCTGGACTCAAGAATACTGGGTTGAATGGCCAGCCTGAGGACAGGACCACACGCGTGACAACATCCAAGTGCAAGAAATTCCCTGTTGCTTACCAGGATGTGGATGTCAGTGCACAGACTAAGGGGTCTCCGGTGTGCTGCTCTGACTGCCACCCAGCTCCCTTTTGGGTCAGCCATGATGGCCTCACACACCAGACCAGTTCTCACCTCAGTTCATCTGTTCATCAGAGATGAAGAGGGATGATTCTACTAGTGCCACAGGCCTCCTGGAACTCTGCCTCAGGCACCAGGGACCTTTGGCAGTTTTTGCCCACACCTGAGAAAAAAATACTACATCAAAAAGCCAGGTGGAGGCCAACCACAGCTGCAAACATCAGCAGAGTAATATGTGCAGTACATGGTGGGGGGCAGCAGAGACCTCCAGGCTGGTGTAAAGGCAACAAGGCATGGAATTTATTGGGCCTAAAAGTGTGATAAAACCTTTGTGCTGAACAAACAGAAGTGTGTCTCTTTTATAGAGATGGAGAGAACGCAGGGGACATTAGGCAGGAAGATCCCAATGGACATCTGTGGTTAAAGTTTTCTGGCAATCTTGCATTTTAGTGGGCAGAGTCCTTTGAAGTGTGCTGGTGTCTCCAAATGTCCCGAGGACATCTGCAAAATTCCTTGTCCTATCTTATCTCCTTTCCGTGCTTGTTGATGACAGCCTCAGGTGCTGCGCTGAGTTCCCTGCTGAGACGTGAGTTCCCGGCAGGGCAGGACTGAGTGCTCTGCTGGCAAACAGGTTGGGGGCTGGGAGAGTCAGGGCCAAGTGGAGGCTTACATGGGGGACTGCTCCAGATTTCTGGGTGGCCAAGGGACACCTTGAGGACCTAAGTGATTATAAGAAATGTCCCACTTACTGGTAGGATGTTGATGGTGGGGAGGTTGTGAGTGTGGGGGTACAGCTGTCACAGGGGTGGGCAGAAAGGACCAAGGAATATTGGGGTCTCTCCTTATCTTTCAGATTTGCTATGAGCCTGAAAATATTCTTGTTAGGTTCATTTAAGACCCAGAGGCAATCAGCTGAGGTGGAAAGGTTTATGAGCACCTCAAGCACAGCAGCATGTCTGCGTTCTGAGGCAGACTCCAGTCCATCAGCCAGAAGTAGGGTGGCAGATTTTCAGGCTGGGCTTGGGGCTGAGTTTGGACCAGGGAATGGAGTGAGGAAATTCGCTGGCTTTAAAACTAGAATAAAAGTTAGGCTGCTGGGGAAAATTTAAACTAATTACTCTGAAATATAGTTATTTATCTGAAAAAGTGTACAATAACTAGTGAATGAGTGAAAAACCAATATATTTCATTCTAGAATGGAAAATTTGACAGCAGAGCCAATAATTTTTATATTAGGAATATAAAGTTTAAAATCAATGATTAAATAAATGGCAATGAGATAGAGTGTACTTTTTATATTTTGTTTTCTCACTGAAATAATTTTCTTTTCTGCATGTTTTTTCTTTTTTATCTTGTGTGAATGGGTGTTAGTTTTTTCGCTGCTGTATAATTGAAGTGCAGTAACCTTAAGTGTAAATACTGTGTCGTGAGTCTCAGGAGTTACACACCTCCCCTTGGGGCTCCTACCCAATTTAAAAGCAGCACATTCCCTTCACATGAGAAATTTCCTTCCTTGCCAAGCCCCTCTTCTGAGGTAGCCATTGTACTCCTGTCACATGAATTCATTTGTTCCATGCAAGTGGGGTCACATAGATATGACTGTCTTTCAGGAAAAATTACACCATCTTGATGACTATATTTTATGCAAGATATTGAAATTGACTCCCATTCTGCAAATAATTTTTTTCTTTTCCAGATTGTTGTGGGAAATTTAAAGTCCTTTGTATTTTTGTAAAACATTTAGATTTGGCTTGTCAGTTTCTTTTCAAAAGGTATCCTGCTGAGGCTGACATTTGCCTGCAATGGCAAGGGAACAGTCATGCAAGGCAGAGGGGAGCAGAGTGGGTAGTCTGCTGCCGAAGCTGTGGTGGTGCACATTTGTAATCCCAGCAGGCAAATGCATGGGATGCCCTGGTTGAGCTGAGAACCAGCATGTGATTCAAGCTGACCCAATGAATTTGAAATCAGCCAGGATTACATAGGGAGTCCCTGTCTCAAAAAACAAAACAAAAAAAATAAAAGAAAGAAAAAGAAGGAAAGAAAGATTCTAGGGAGTCCTTAGTGGGAATGGCAATGAATCTACATATATATATATATATATATATATATATATATATATATTTTTTTTTTTTTTTTTTTTTTTTTTTTTTTTCCTAATCGATACTGGGGACTGAACTCACGACTGCCTGCTTGCAAGGCAGGCACTTATGCTGCTGAGCTAAATCCCCAGCCCCCAATGAATCTATATTTTAACTGGGGACTCAAATTGTTTACCAGACAGCTGCTTTGGAAATATTCTTTTGCATTCTCTGGCTTGTCTTTAATTCTCCACCTGTGTGTTCCAAAGAACAGAAAATATTTGTAATTTTGGCTCATTCCAGTGTGTTTAGCTGAAGACTTTTCCAATCTGTAGTGTTTCAGTCTTGAGTCTCTCCTGTTTCTTTAATTAGATTTAATTTTACCTCATGCTCCTTTTGGTCAGTATTAGTGTACTATCTCATCACTGCTCAGAAGGAGCTAGGCAGGGTGGATTTAATGGGATTTTGCTGCTGAGGGTTATAACTCTTTTGTTGTCAGTGGATCATTACTA